TTTCCAGAATTCGCATTTGGAGAACTTGGCGTATAGTTGGTGTTCTCTTAGAGTTTGCAAGGTTATGCGGATGTGCCTTTCATGTTTTTCCTTGTTTCGGGAGTAGACTAGGATGTCTTCAGTGAATACAATGACGAAGTCATCCAGGTGGGGTCGGAATACTCGGTTCATGAGGTCCATGAATATGGCGGGTGAGTTGGTGAGTCCGAAGGGCATTACTGTAAATTCGTAGTGGCCGTAGCGTGTCTGGAAGGCCGTTTTCTGAATGTCTGGTTTGGCCACTTGTATTTGGTGATATCCGGATCTTAGGTCAATTTTCGAGAACACCCCTGCCCCTTTTAGCTGATCGAACAAGTCATCAATTCGGGGAAGGGGGTACCTGTTCTTTATTGTGACTTGATTAAGTTCCCTGTAGTCAATGCACAGGCGCATGATCCCATCTTTCTTTTTAACGAATAGTACTGGTGCTCCCTATGGGGAGGTGCTGGGGCAGATGTAACCTTTATCTAGTAGTTCCTGAAGTTGCGTTTTCAGTTCCTTCATTTCTTTTGGTGCTAGCCTGTATGGTAGTTTAGAGATCGGGGCAGCGCCAGGTACGAGGTCTATTGTGAACTCAACTTCCCTGGCCAGGGGTGCCCCGGGGATCTCGTCTGGGAAGACGTCGGCGAATTCGTTTACTACTGGAATGGTTTGTGGTTCGGGTGTTTTGGTGTTGAGGTCTTCGACCGAGCATAGGAAGGCCTCGCTTCCTTGGTGTAGGTATTTCTTTATCTTCACCATGTTTACAAGTTTGATCTCTGGACCCTGGCGAGTCCCATGGTACGACACCCTTTTACCGTTTGGTCCCCGTAGGACCACTTTTTGTTCTCCGCATAGGATTTGTGCTTGGAATTTCCCTAGCCAGTCCATGTCCAAGATCACTTGTACCCCATCCAGTCTGAATTGTATTAAGTTGCTGGGAAATTCCACTCCTTGGATGGTGATCATTATGTTCTCGTACATGCGGTCGCACTTCATGATTTCGCCGGAGGCCACCTTGACCTGGAGTCGGACTTTAGTGCTGGTGTTAAGGCCGAGTTGAGTGGCGAATTCGGTTGCTATAAATGAGTTGGTAGCCCCTGAATCAAATAGTATAGTGGCGGAGGTGGCGTGTACTAGGAAGGTTCCGGAGACTATGTTGTTGTCTCCGACCCTGGCTTTGCTTAGGGTAAGGATTCTTCCTTGAATGGTTGGCGTTGCGATCTTGTGGGGTGAGACGGTCCTGGGGTTTTTAGGCCCTCGTGGGGGAATTGTGTGACTCCCCTTAGGTTTCCTTTTATATCCCAGGTATGTCTCCCGGGATTGGTTTGATACTTGTTGTAGTTGGAATGCCTTGGCATAGGCTTCCCCGAGGGTTCTTGGTTCTTGTGCGGCCAGGGCTTTCTGGTGTCCAGGATCAAGGCCTGTTATGAACTTCTTGACCTTGATCTCCTCGGTGGGTACTAGCTCGGGGGTGAGGTGAGCCAATCTGCGGAATTGCTGGTAGTATTCCGCGATCGGGGCTGCCCCTTGTTTTAGGTGGAGGAACTCTTCGTATATGGCGGCTTTTAGATGGTTGGGGTAGAATTGTTCTCGTAGTCGCGTTTTTAGGGTTTCCCAGTCGAATTCGGGGCCTTGTTCGTATGTGGGTCTTTCGTGAGCCCACCAGGTGTCGGCCTCATGTCTGAAGTAGAAGGAGGCTATTCTTACTTGGTGATTTTCCGGGCATCTGGTTGCCCTGAATATCTTGTCAAAAGTCCCGATCCATTCCTCGAGGGTCGTGGGGTTTTCGTTCCCCGAGAAGATGGGTGGTTGGTGTGCCGAGACTTGGTGGTGGATTTCCAAGTTCTCGTTTGTTGGTGATGGCTGGGGAACGGTAGCGCTTAGTGCCTGGGCAATTTGGACCAGGCGTTGCAGATTCTGAGTCAAGAATTCCTGGGTGGGGAGTTTCGATGTCCCTGCCTGTTTCCTTTTTGGCGTCATCCTGGTGTTCATAGGTCGATGTTATTTTGCATTCTTACCTTGATGCGATAAGCGGAGGGGGAGTTTTCTTTAAATAAGTGAGGGAGGGTTATGTGTAGGTTTCACAGTCTCACCGCACGTCCTAAGGTTCCTGAGTCCTATGTTCCTAAATACTTAAAGTTCAAGCCTATTGTCTCAAAGTCTAGTCTTAAGAGTCTTATCCTAGGGTCAAACTTAGGCTCCGATACCAACTGTAACACCCCGAAATTTTTAAACTTTTGAAGCTTATATAATAAAGGTAAATTCTCATTAAATCCCAAAACATAATATAAAGAGTATGGGGTGCTATGCCACACCTGAGCTAGAGAACTCAGGTGCACAGGCTAACTAACTAATATCCTCAATAATGTAAATGCATAAGCATGGCACGCAGGCCGAAAAGAAACTATCTACTACTACGCTCCAAGACTCTAGCGCGCTCCAGTGTCTACTCCTCTGTGCCTGAAAGCCAAATATATCTGTTCAGCGAGAGATGCTGGTAACCCACTCCAACGTGTTGAAATACAATACATATAGGCATATATATAGATATAAGAAAAAACCATTTCGAAGCATGAAGATATATCCTAAGAGACTCTAGCTTTTAAAACGGGGAATAGACTCCACAGATAGGGATAAGCACAGTCAACAGTCACATAATTCACAAGCACAGGGAACGGACTCGACAGATAGAGATAAGCACAGCCAATAGTCATAACCAAGCATATACGGTTTACTAGCATGTATCCTATGGTCACACTTTCATAACATTCGTAACATCAAACCATCCATATCTCACCACATAGCACACTTTGTTGGCGCCACAGGACCAATCGCATGCCCATACATTAGGGTCAGCGCATATAGCTCTGACACGGCCCCGCAGCACCCTGCCCCGTATCGCAACACGGAGGGGTCGATCGCAACCGACCGATGAACCGCAGCTCATCATAATGTTTGATCGCAACCAAACAGTGGACCGCAGCCCAAGAGTAGTCATCTGACCGCAGCCAGGAATATGAACCGCAGCTCATGTAAAATGTTTGATCGCAACCAAACGGTGGACCGCAGACCGAGAGTGTAAATCTGACCGCAGCCAGCTTCTGAACCGCAGCTCAGGAATAACCAATTTGATCGCAACCAAATTGGGGTATCATGCACACATAACACATAGCAAACACATGCAACCCATATTAACACATTGGGAAAGGGGAGAAAACGTATAACGAAACCTATGCGTGGTCATCCACATACTAGGAATAATCCTAAGGGGTTCATACTTCTTTTACCTAGGCCAACGAGATACCAATTCAACTAGCATGCGATATATAAGACTCATTTATCCTACGAACGGTACCCGAAACATCAAACTAGACTTAGGCATGATAAACGGAGTCCGTTGGGACACCACGGGGGTCGGGGGAACATCAAACGGGGAAGCTGGGATCCCGAAGTGGGAGAATTTCCAGCGGGTAGCCGGTGAGTGAAGGGTCACCCGCCGGCGACGGATTTCCGGGCAACGGGTGCCCGGCGGCCAGTCGCCTGCCCGCTGCCGGCGACATCAAAACTTGCCGCGGGTAGGTGGTGTAACACCCCGAAATTTTCGAAAACTTTTGAGACTTATATAATAAAGGCAAATTCTCATTAAATCCAAAACATAACATAAGAGTATGGGGTGCTATGCCACACCCGAGCTAGAGAACTCAGGTGCACAGGCTAAATTCTAAAACCTCAATCAGTATCAATACAAAATCATGGCACGCAGGCCGGAAGGGAAAACTATCTAATCTACGCCCCAAGCTTCTAGCGCGCTCCAGTGATCTACTCGTCAGTGCCTGAAAGCCAAATATATCTGTTCAGCGAGAGATGCTGGTAACCCACTCCAACGCGTTGAAATACAATACATATAGATATATACAGAGATATACGAAAAACCATTTCGAAGAATGAAGATGTATCCTAAGAGACTCTAGCTTTCAAAATAGGGAATAGACTCGACAGATAGGGATACGCACAGTCAACAGTTATACCATGCATATACAGTTTTCCAGCATAGAGAACAGGCACGATAGATAGAGACAAGCACATAACATAGCATATACAGTTGCTAGCATAAATCCTATAGTCACGTTCTCAAAACACACATAACAACACCCCTTATCCATATCTCATCACATAAACACACTTTTTTGGCGCCAGAGGACCAATCGCATGCCCATACATGAGGGTCAGCGCATATAACTCTGTAAATTCGTAGTGGCCGTAGCGTGTCCGGAAGGCCGTTTTCTGAATGTCTGGTTTGGCCACTTGTATTTGGTGATATCCGGATCTTAGGTCAATTTTTGAGAACACCCCTGCCCCCTTAAGTTGGTCAAATAAGTCATCGATCCGGGGAAGGGGGTACCTATTCTTTATTGTGACTTGGTTAAGTTCCCTGTAGTCGATGCACAGGCGCATGCTCCCATCTTTCTTTTTAACGAATAGTACTGGTGCTCCCCATGGGGAGGTGCTGGGGCTAGGGGTGGAAATAGGCCAGGCCGAGCCAAGCTTTTTAAAATTAGGCCTGGGCCTGTTAGGAAAACTTAAAGCCTGGGCCTGGGCCTAGGCCTGTATGTAGGCTTTTTTTTAGGCTCAAGCCTGAGCCTACAGTAGGCCTGGCCTGGCCTGAAGCCTTTTTAAAAGCCTATTTAGTAAAAAGGCTTCAAAATAGGTTCTAAATAGGCTTTTAGTCTATTTAAATAGGCTCAAAGCCTATTTAAAGCCTACATTTTAAAGCCTTTTAAATATTATATATATATGAATATACCTATAAAAAAATAATTATATTATTAAGTTACAATCAAGTGAATCAACCAATATTCATAAATGACAAAACTAAGTTCATATTTTATAATAAAATGTCAAACAACACCTACAAGTTTAATAAGTACGAGTTCATAATACAAAAACCATACAAGTTTGATAACATCAAGTCTACATGTCCATAATACAAAAGTCCATCACAAATTCACAACTCACAAGTTTAACAACAACAGAAATCATAAGTTCACAATACAAACATGAAACATTAAACATAATAACAACAATAGCATTCAAACATAAAATGAAACAAGTCATGGCTTCAACATAATCTCCTGTTGTCCAGAATCTCCCTACACAATGAAAAAAATTGAGAATAAATAATGAAGTCAATTACAAGTTCAAGTTCTCATAATTAAAGTAACAAGCAGTAATATAAAATAATATAAAATATTAAAGTAACAAGTACATTCTTACCTTTTGTTTTTTCTTCAGCCCGTACTTGTTACGAAGCCAATCCCCACCACAAATAAGAGCTTCAATAGATTCCTCATTTAAGCTAGCACGATATTCATCAATGACTCTTCCCCCGGCACTAAATGTGGATTCAGATGCCACACTTGAAATAGGAACAGCTAGTATATCAGAAGCCATCTTTGATAAAACTTTAAACTTTGGACTATTATTTTTCCACCACGCCAAGGTACAAAAGGATGAAGTAGAAGAAGGAATAAAAAGATTTTCCTCAAGATAAGCCTCCAACTCTGATTTCGTAAGAGGAATTGATTGACTTTGGTAGACCATACTCAATAATTCTTGCATCCCTTTATCCATTTGTTGTCCACCATCAACCAGAGTGCTGCTTTCAACATTGACTTCACTATGTCCACTAGTAGAAGAAGCATCTTGACTATACAAGTTCACATAATCAAGATATAAATCTTCTAATGCCCTTTTCACCTTCTCCACATTCTTTTCAACATCACTTGGTGTTTTATACAATAAGGGAAAAGTTATCTTAATACCATTTAATTTCATCCTTGGATCTAAAACACATGCAATAGACATTAACAAATTACACTCCCCCCAATATTTGTCAAATTTTGCTTTCATAGGTTTTGCCATCTCACGCATGAACATGTCAAAACACTCAGCTGCATTATCAATAACCTTTTTCACCCTTTGAATTTCAGCAAGATACAAGTTAGAAGTAGGGTAATCACTACCTGAGATGACATGAGTTGCATCATTAAAAACCTCCAAAAGTTTACAAACCTTCTCAATCTTGTCCCAATCCTCAAATGATGGTGCATACTTATAATGGGGCTCTTTTTCATTGTAATCTGAAAATGCATGCTTAAATTTACTTGCAGTACACAACATCAAGAATGTGGAGTTCCATCTTGTTGGACAATCAAGAATAAGTTTCCTTTCTTTCAATCCTTTTAATTCAACAACTTCATGGAATGACTTTAGCCTTGCATCTGAAGAATTTATAAATTTCACACTTTCACGAACATTATGAATGACATCTTTAATAGTGTTAAGGCCATCTTGCACCAACAAATTCAAAATGTGAGCACAACATCTAACATGAAAAAGTTGACCATCAAGTACTAACTTACTGCTCAATGACATGTTTTCTTTCAAACTTCTAACACAAGAGTCATTGTAAGATGCATTGTCAACAGTTACTGAGAATATTTTATTCTCAATGCCCCATCCTCTCAAACACTTGAAAATAGCATTTGCTATATCTGTTCCTCGTCGAGGAGGAGGCACTTTGACAAAATTCAAAACTCTCTTCTGAAGGTTCCAACTTGCATCAACAAAATGACCTGTCACAACCATGTACTCAACTACTTGGTGACTTGACTTCCACATGTCTGTTGTAATGCTAACCTTACTCACATTATTCAAAATCCTTTTCAAAGTATTCTTTTCAGCTTCATACAATTGCAAACAATCACTTCTTGTTGTTTTACGACTGACTCTTCTAAAATTTGGATTTGCATATTCAAAAGCCCACATGAACATGTCATCCTCTACGATGCTAAATGGTCGCTCATGCACCATAATTCCACTAGCAATAATCTCTCTCATCTTTTCATTGGAGTATTTAGCATTAGGAACAATAAAGGGATTACCACCACATTCACTAGGCGGCCGAAATTGTATCGTTGTTTGTTTATTTTCTCGAGAGATATGCAACTTCCGTTGCAGGCAAATCTCTGAGTGCCTCTTAAGATGGCTAGTGCTTGCACCCTTTCCACCAGTAGAGTATTTTTCCTTACAATACAAACACACTGCTTTCTTTGTACCATTAGCAAGTTCAATTTCTTCAAAATCATTCCATACCGGAGATGTTTTTTTCCGCTTTTTTGTTAAGATTGAATCATTATCAACCCTATTGACTTCTTCAGAATTGTTACTTTCAATTGGTTGACTTGAAGAAATTGATGGAGTTGTAGTTGTAACTTGCACATTCACTTCTTCAGGAATAGATTCATTTGTATTGTTACTTGTCATCCTATATAATTTTATAATTATTCAGCCATTAAAACACATAAACAAAGTAACATCTAAGTATCTAATATTAATTATTATAAACAACTAAACTATAAACTTTATAGTAATAAACTAATTATAGTAAAAAAAAAAAACTAATTATGTTTAGTTGTTTATAATAATTAATATTATAACTAATCAATTTATTAGTCTGCTTAACTAATCAATAAACTGAGTAATAATTGTTTATAGTAATAAACTAATTAAATTGCTCATTGCAGACTTGCAGTTCCTTATTAGTGTATAACTAATCAATTTATTAGTGCATAAGTGCATAACATTATTTATTTAGTTATTTATTTATTTAGTTATTTGAACTAAATAATAACTACTGTCAATTACTTTGTTGACCATATACAATCACTGTGTCCTTTAATTAGCAGATTCATTACTTGATCTTTGCTTTCAATAGGTTTATTACGTGTATGGGTTCATGCTATTGGTTTTTATTATTCTGATAATTGTCAGAGTGTGTGTGATAAATTGATAATCGTGGCCACATATTTCTGCTTAAACAACACTCAGGCCTGTGTATATTAAATAACAGTCAAGGCAGTATGCATATTACTTCAATAAACAGGTGATGAAACGCAGGTCTGAGTGTCTACTTTAATAAACAATTAAACAAACAAACGTATATTAATAAAACTAACCTCCGATCGCCGGTCGCCGGTCGCCACCAAGCAGATAGCAGAAAAGCAGTCTGAGTCGTCCAACTGCGGTCGCCGCTTGTCCAACTCCGGTCGCCACCTCGCCACGCCGCCTCACCGCCCGCAGCCTCGCCGGAGTCGCGTTAGTCGATTCGAAGATTTCGATTTTTGGGGAAGAAACGAGTACAGGACAGTTTGTGTCCACAAAGCCACAAACGCAGACAGTCCTAGGGTTATCAGATATTGACTTTATACTTATATATATATATATACTGGGTTATATTGTAATTATTACAAAATATTAGTTATAAAATATAATATAAAATAATTAATATTAAATATATATTTTATATATATTATATACATAAACAGGCCAGGCCTGCAGGCTCGTAGGCCAGGCTTTCACATATAAGCCTAAGCCTATTTAACTAAATAGGCTATTAACTAGGCCTAAGCCTGGCCTTTTAACTAAACAGGCCAGGCCAGGCCAGGCCCTAAACAGGCCAGGCCATAGGCCCCTGGTAGGGGCCTGGCCTATTCCCACCCCTAGCTGGGGCGGATGTATCCTTTATCTAGCATTTCCTGAAGTTGCGTTTTTAGTTCCTTCATTTCTTTTGGTGCTAGCTTGTAGGGTGGTTTGGAGATCGGGGTGGCGCCAGGTACGAGGTCTATGGTGAACTCGACTTCCCTGGCTGGGGGCGCCCCGGGGATATCGTCTGGAAAGACGTCGGTGAATTCGTTTACCACTGGAATGGTTTGTGGTTCAGGTGTTTTGGTGTCGAGGTCCTCGATCGAGCATATGAAGGCCTCGTTTCCTTGGTTTAGGTATTTCTTCATTTTCATCATGTTTACAAGTTTGATCCCTGGATCCTGACGGGTTCCGCAGTATGACACCCTTTTAACGTTTGGTCCCCGTAGGACCACTTTTTGTTCTCCGCATAGGATTTGTGCTGGGAATTTCCTTAGCCAGTCCATGCCCAGTATCACTTGCACCCCATCCGGTCTGAATTGTATTAAGTTGCTAGGAAATTCCACTCCTTGGATGGTGATCATCACGTTCTCGTACATGCGATCGCATTTTATGATTTCGCCAGAGGCCACCTTGACTTGGAGCTGGACCCTGGTGCTAGTGTAAAGGCCGAGTTGAGTGGCAAACTCGGTTGCTACGAATGAGTTGGTAGCCCCCGAATCAAATAGTATAGTGGCGGCAGTGGCGTGTACTAGGAAGGTTCCGGAGACTATGTTGCTGTCTCCGATCCTGGCTTTGCTTAGGGTAAGGACTCTTCCTTGAGTAGTTGGTGTGGTGACCTTGTGAGGCGAGACGGTCCTGAGATTCTTAGGCCCTCTGGTGGGGTTTGGGTGATTCCCCTCAGGTTTCCTTTTGTACCCCAGGTGTGTCTCCCGTGTTAGGTTTGTTACTTGTTGTAGTTGGGATGCCTTGGCATAGGCTTCCCCGAGGGTTCTTGGTACTTACGTGGCCAGGGCTTTCTGATGTTCGGGATCAAGGCCTGCTATGAACTTTTTGACCCTAATCATCTCGGTGGGCACTAGTTCGGGGGTGAGGCGAGCCAGTCTGTGGAATTGCTGGTAGTATTCCGTGACTAGGGCTGCCCCTTGTTTTAGGTGGAGGAACTCTTCGTATACGGTGGTTTTTAGATGGTTGGGATAGAATTGTTCTCGTAGCCGTGTTTTTAGGGTTTCCCAGTTGAATCCGGGGCTTTGTTCGCATGTGGGTCCCTCGTGAGCCCACCAGGTGTCGGCCTCATGTCTGAAGTAGAAGGAGGCTGTTCTTACTTGGTGGCTTTCGGGGCATTTAGTTGCCCTCGATATCGTGTCAAAAGTCCCGATGCACTCCTCGAGGGTCGTGGGGTCTTCGTTTCCCGAGAGGGTGGGGGGTAGGTGTGCCGAGACTTGGTGGTGGATCTCCAATTTCTCGTTTGTTGGTAATGGTTGGGAAACGGTAGTACTTAGTGCCTAGGCAATTTGGGCCAGGCGTTGCAGATTCTGAGTCAGGAATTCCTGAGTGGGGAGTTTCGGTGTTCCTACCTGTCTCCTTTTCGGTGTCATCCTGGTGTTCATAGGTCGATGTTATTTTGCGTCCTTACCTTGATGAAATAAGTGAAGGGGGAGTTTCTTTAAGTCAGATAGGGATTAAGTGAGGGGGTTATGTGTAGGTTTCACAATCTCACCGCGCGTCCTACGATTCCTAAATCCTATGTTCCTAAGTACCTAGAGTTTAAGCTTAATGTCCTAAAGTCTAGTCTTAAGAGTCTTATCCTAAGGTCAAACTTAGGCTCTGATACCAACTGTAACACCCCGAAATTTTCGAAAACTTTTGAGACTTATATAACAAAGGTAAATTCTCATTAAATCCAAAACATAACATAAGAGTACGGGGTGCTATGCCACACCCAAGCTAGAGAACTCAGGTGCACAGGCTAAATTCTAAAACCTCAATCAGTATCAATAAAAAATCATGGCACGCAGGCCGAAAGGGAAAACTATCTAATGTACGCCCCAAGCTTCTAGCGCGCTCCAGTGATCTACTCGTCTGTGCCTGAAAGCCAAATATATCTGTTCAGCGAGAGATGCTGGTAACCCACTCCAACGCGTTGAAATACAATACACATAGATATATACGTAGATATACGAAAAACCATTTCGAAGCATGAAGATGTATCCTAAGAGACTCTAGCTTTCAAAACAGGGAATAGACTCGACAGATAGGGATACGCACAGTCAAAAGTTATACCAAGCATATACAGTTTCCCAGCATAGAGAACAGGCACGATAGATTGAGACAAGCACATAACCAAGCATATACAGTTGCTAGCATAAATCCTATAGTCACGTTCTCAAAACACACATAACAACACCTTATC